CTTTCCCGGGCTCTGTGTGAGCTGGCGAGGGCGGGGACAGCGGTGTGGGGCTGAGAGGGCCCGGGGAGGCCCAGGTGGGGGAGGCCCAGGTGAGGCCCTGGATGGGCAGGAAGGGCGACAGGAAAAGCGAAGGCTGTGAGGCGGGGCGCCCCCCTCCCCAGCCGCCTGTGCCGGCTCACATGGCCATGTCCCTGGCCTCGCCTGGGCTCAGGGCCTCCTCTGGTCCCACCAGCTTCACCGCCGAGAAGTGCTCCTGGAGCTGCGGCCAGGAGTCCGCGACGTGGGGCTCGTGGAACACCTCCTGGGGACGGGCAAGGGGGCGGCTGCGAGGGCAGAAGGCGGTGCCCGGGGGAGGGGCGGGAAGGGCGCGGGAAGGAGCCTGGGCGCTTCGGATCAGGGCAGGGAGGGCCCCCGGGAGCGCCGCCAGGTCTCACGCTGTTGTGCAGGAAGAGGGAGACCCTGTCGCGGGGGTAGTCCAGGAGCAGCAGCCGCTGCAGGAAGCGGGGTAGAAACGGGGTGGGCTGTTCCACAAACACGGCCAGAAGCACCCGGGGGGGAGGCTGGAAGACAGCATGAGAGTGAGCTCAGGGGGAGGCCCAGGCCGGTGCTGCCCCTTGCCCGCCTGCCGGGGGTGAGCCGGGAGCCTGGCCCCCGACTTCTGCCCCCACGCCGTCCCGCCCTTTGCTCCGGTGCCCCCGCTTGCCTGCCCCCCCGGGAGTATCCTCCGGTCTGTGCTGCAGAAGCCGCAGCCTCCCTCGGGCGTCCAGCCGTTGGGGACGTAGTTTCCCAGGTAGTTCAGCTGGAGCTGCGGGAAGAGACAGGCTGAGCGGCGGTGGCAGAGGCAGCGAGGCGTGAGGGGAGGTCAGGGCACAGTCGGGGTCCGGCGGCAGGGGACGGGGAGCCTCTCCGGCGCTTCTGTGGTGGGAACGGGGGAGGCTGCTTCCCAGCAAGGCTGGAGGAGCCCAGGGGCTGGGGCCGGGCAGGGGTCGAGGCCACTGGGGGCACCTTAGTGGGGCCGTTTCCGTGGACCACCACGGGAAGCGTGTCGTAGGCCACATTCCGGATGCGCACGCGATTCCGGTCAAACTTTAAAACCACCTCATCTGGGGAGGAAAGGCCGGCCTCAGACTCCCTTCCTCTGGGAGCCGCAAGCAACAGGTCCTTCCAGGTATGGGGGTCCCGGCTTCTCCAGGAGACGGGGATGCCGGGGCCCGCGGTACTGTGGCTCCACGGAGGCAGGAACCTCCGAGGAGCGACCGTGGTGAGTCCCTCGCCTCTCGGGGACTGCTTCCCCTCTGGTACAAGGTGGATGGCCCAGGACCCCCCTTTACCGAATGACACCACAGAAGCAGAGCCCCTGGCTGGGGCCTGGGCACACCGCTGCCACTCCCGCTTCGGGTACCAGGGCATGGGGCCGCTGACGCCACCAGAAGCCCGGTGAAGGGACACGCAGCTGAGCTGCAGCAAGTCAGGCCCCCCGGGCAGCAGAGGCCTCTCACCGCCCCCCACCATCTTCCTCCTCACCTAGAGCCCCGTTGAGGTTCTGAAAAATCTGGGATCTGTGGTCAAGGCCGAGGCTGAGCTTCTCCTGGATGAGATGGGAGGAAGCACTTCACTG